TTTGCTAGAGATGCTAAATGTATGCTCTCGCTAACAGAACTTCCTCCCCAACAGATTGGATTTTTGAAATATGACGTTGCTGAAGAGGTATGTGTTGAGATTGTTCATATCATTGAAGTACATCACTGCAAATGTGGTAGACAGAAACAACGGATGTATAGTAGCAACATCATCTACTGTTGAACATTCAGTGAAACAGTCACTTGAGTGCGGTAGAACTTGCAATGCAAAGGCTGCAGCGATTGTAGGAGAAGTGTTGGCAATGCGTCTCAAAGTGGAGGGTCTTGATCAGGGGCAAGGAAACGGGATCCATGTCAATGTAAATAAAGAGGTTGAGAAGAAAGGTTTCAAAAATCGTACAAAAGTTTGGGCTATAGTTAACGGCCTTAAGAGCAATGCAGTGAAACTTATTTTGGATGACAATGAAAATGACAGTTGTCGCCCTAACTTCCACTAGAACAGTGCGCTGATCCTCTTATCGCACGCCTACAAGGTACAAATAATGAATTGTATCTCATATCAGTAATTTAGTTGTACTCAATATGTAGTTGGCTCTTAAAATATTATCATGATCTTTTTTTCCAGATCCTATAACTTCCCTACTGAGTCCAATATACTGACACATTGCCATAAATTTTGTATATTAGATAGATGTTATTGATTGAAAGAGAACGTTGTCGATGAAAGGTAATTTGAGTACTTCACAATTTGCTTTGTGAATTGAGCTCACTCTGTTAGATTTTTAATATTTGTGTTTCACACTGGAAATATCTAGGAAATAAATGTTGAGTCCTTTATTACTTTTAACCCCTCCAAAGACAATTCTCTATGCATTGTACTATAATGGTCAATTTAACTCATTAGTTATGCAGAGTTTTGGAAGTCTTGTACTCTGATTACTTAGTTGCAAGTTTGAATTGACCATACATGGTCGGATGGTCCTCCTTATTGTTCTCAATAGATACTTCTAAAATTTTGTGTTTTCATCAAATAAATTGATGTGAAGTATATGCGTGCATATAGATTACTTGATCTTCGTTAAATATTGCATATTATTATTGTAATTTATAACGTAGGTATGTGGAAGATGCTGCTTTACTACTGGAGATTTTGTGTGTGCCTATTTTGTGTTGAATGCCCAACTCAACTGTAACTGAGAAGGCCATATTTTTATTTCTGGTAGTTAGTTGTTGGCAAGGGAAGGGAATAGGGAAAAATGATATTGTTTTCTATTACTTTGCAGCTTCGAGTTCATTGTGTTTAAGCCCTTGGAACTCCAATTGTGGGTGACTACAAGTATGGTTGGTTTGTCCATCGCAAATAGAACATACCAAGAGTAGATGTGTGTCTTATCTAAGGTCCCTTTATTACATCTGCATTGTAGGGAGCTTGTTCTCCCAAATATACCCAATTTTATTGAGCTTCACAGTCGAAAAGCGAAAAAACACTCTGATCATAGCTCAAACTCAGATGTCCTCCAGTTTGTAGCACCAATACCATCTGCCATGGAAATTAGTTGGAAGCTTATGTACTCTTATTAGATATGACAATAGCAAGAGTCTGTTCAATTGTTTCCCCATGGTTTGCTCGAAGCATTTTTAATTCCTCAGCCAACAAATGAAGTACTCAAGTTATATCTGTCTATATATAGGGCATAATTTGGAAACCTTCTAATTTAATTCAATATATTGCAACTCAAAATTCAATGTATTTGTTAATGGAAGAGGAAACACTCAAACATATACCTCATGACCTGCATTCATTTGTACACCTCTTCCTTCGATTGTAGATGGTGGTTGCCCGTGCGTGCACGGACCTAATATTTATCTATTTTTGTATTTTATACAACCTTGTGTCAGTGTTGAAACTTGTTTATTGATTAATAATAACATGATTTTAAATTGTTAATATACATACGCATACATTACCCGTGGTACACCGACACACATTGATGATTGCACTGTCGTGCGTACACACACATTATTTATATATGCGAAGTTGCAAGTTCTTCAAAAATAATCCACATATGTTTGTGTTATTCGTGTGTAACTTACACTAAATTTGGAAAGTAAGAAAGTTCCATTCATTATACAACAAATTGGAAATACAAAATGTTTGACTTACACAGTCGTCTAATTAACCAGTTAGAATTATGAATTAGTCCTTGGAATAAATAAAAATGCGTGTGAAAAACATTATGATAGTATTTTATCATAATGATTGAGTTCGTTTCAAAATCAATTACGTTATATTATTTATTCTTAACACGCTTGAGTCATGGAGTATGGTTGATATTACTCAAAGTTGTTATAACAACCTGATGCAATTTTAAATGACAAAAACTTGTGAAAGTATTAATAATGAGCTAGCTTAATAGATAGTACAAGACTAATCTATGAATAAAACACCAAATAATAAGGTAACAATTGGGCCCGTGCACGCACGGGCAAAAATTATCTAGTATAATAGTAAAGGGAAAAGACTTCTCTTATAGATTATATAGAAAATACTTATATACAATTATATACAAAATATATAAATACATAATCCGTCGTAACAATAAATTAGTCTTTTTCAGAAATTCTCGGTAAGAAAGAAGGGGATGTATTTTTTTTCTGTTTTAAGAAAAGGAAAATCTTATTTTCCGAATCATTGTACAATTCAATTTGAATTAGGAATTATGTGTCCAACTCTAAGCAGCCCTTAACTACATATGCATCTGATCATATATATATTATCTATTCCAACAAATAATACAAAAGAAGGAGGTTTTTCATTGCGAGATCTAAAAACATATCTCTCTGTGGCACCAGTACTAAGTACGCTACGGTTCAGGGCTTTAGCATGTCTATTGATAGAGATTAATCATTTTTTCCCGGATGTGTTGACATTCCCCTTTTTTTCATTCTAGTTATTGTCATGGGAAGGAATGAAGAAAATTAGAGATCCAATCAAATATTGGTGATGAATCCCTCTCCCCCTCTTTTCTCTTTTTTCCCTTTTTAGAATAAGGGAGGAAAGAGAAAGAATAAAAAAAGTCGATTCAACATTCGGGCTCAAGTTCGAATTAACTGAATATTAACCATAGAGGAATGGGGGTAGAATAGAAAATGGGGGTCTAGGGCAAGAGTATTATACTAGAAGTTAAATTATTAAATATAATTGTGATATACTAAGGGGGCAAAATCGTAATCCAACTTTGAAGGTACCCCATATCAATAAATATTTAATTTTTAAAAATTACATGAGTATTATTAAACAATATGTTTCAATAAAGGAAGATATTTTATGTTCCAAAAGTCCATTGTTGAAGTTGTTCAATTGTCTTCTTAATTTTCTTTTTGGGGGTGTCATACATTTTTTTTTTATCATCACTAGCTTTAGTGAAAAATGCCCTCACAATTTGGAGCATACATTCCAAAAGAAGGAATTTGATTGAAGAGTAAAAATATAATGTCTTTAAACTTTACGTGGGCATTCAATTTGATAGGATTTATTTAGTTTTTCATTACTTTAGTTTAAGACATTCTATTTATCTAATAGTATAGCTAGATAGATACATATTAAAACCTTGAATATACTTTTTTCCTTTAAGGCTTGTAGCTCTAAACATGCAATCACATTTATTCATAAATTTAAGCTATTATTGTATTTCTAAAGAATAACATAAAATATAGTACATTAAAGGTAATTCATAAAGGTAATTCATAGATTGCAAGAGAATTTCCTTTCGAAGTTATAGAATAATATCAGAATAAAATAATATGATGTAAAAATATTGATGATTTATGAAGTTTTGATGATAGACACATCTTGATATGCAATCCGATTTCAAAAGGAGTTAAAAAAAGAAGAGTCAAAGAAGGAAAACTTTAAAATAAGAAAGCAGAGCTAAAGAAGGCAACAAATAAAAGAGGAAGTTGTGTACTAACAGGATTTGTAATAAAAGGACAAAATAAATCCTTTTCGTACACAACTTTATTTCATTTCCTTGTACACATCGGACACCAATCTTCCAACTCTATAAAAGGATGTCAAAGCAGACGAAACAAATCGTCTTTTGCAAAATCGAGAAACAAGAGGAAGAAAGAGTGAGAAAATACGCAAAAGCCTACTATATTGAGAGTTCTTAGGAATAGAATTCAAGAAGTTCTATAGTTAGAATTTCTTGTGTGAGAAAAGTGTTTTTGATTCATAGTTAGAATCATTGTCATAGATCTTTTGTACAAGAGTGGGTTTGGCTTCTTGTAGAGTTGAGTTATTGAGAGGTTTGTAACAAGAGGTGGGTTTGGCCTCTTGGAGAGAAGAGTTAGTCAACTATAGTTAGTCGAGAGTTTTTTGAGGTTATTGATTATTGAGTTGTAATCGTGACATAGTTGTTAAATAATAAAACAAGGTTTTTCCTTCCTTGAGTGAGGAAGTTTTTAACAAAAAGTATTGTGTGGCTGTTAAAGTGTTCTGTCATAGGCAAATATACAAGAACCTGGTTCTTGTTCTAGGGGTAAGGTCTCTTCAATTGGTATTAGAGCGGGTCTTTTTCGTTAAAAGATTCATATCTTGAAAAGAATCAATGGCAGCACCACCAACCCCACAAGAAGGAGCTTCACAAACTCGACCATCACTGTTCAATGGAAAGTACTACGGATGGTGGAAAAATCGCATGATGGATCACCTTATCGGAGAAAACCCTGATCTATGGGGAATTATTCTGGACGGACCAACCATACCTATGAAAACTGGAACTGATGGAGTTACCAAGATACCAAAAGAAAGGAAGAAATGGGACGTTGCAGACAAACTAGCTATCCAGAACAATCCAGATGAATACAACCGAATCTCATCATGTCAGGATGCTAAAGCTATATGGGAAACTTTACAAACTGCTCACGAGGGAACAACTCAAGTAAAGAAGTCTAAAGTCGATAATCTAAACAGGCAATATGAATTGTTTCGAATGGCAGAGGGTGAAACTATACAAGAAATGCACACCAGGTTCACCTCAATCATTAACGAGACGTACTCTTTGGGAGAAATAGTTTTGAATGGAAAGGCAGTAAGAAAACTCTTAAGTGTTCTCCCTGAATCATGGGAAAGCAAAGTTGAAGCAATCACTGAAGCTCGTGATTTGGATGCGCTAGCTATGGACGGATTAATTGAAAATCTCATCACATATGAACTCAAGAAAAATCAAGAAAAAGAAATCGGAGGGAAGAGAAAGGAAAAGAACCTGGTCCTAAAGGCTACTGTACCAGAAGACTTTGAGGATGAAAATATTGCACTAATGACCAAAAGATTTTCCAGAATGTTAAAGAGAGGGCAAGTATTTCAGAGAAGAAATCCTCAGAAAACAAATGAGAATACAAAAGAACAAGTGTGTCATAAGTGTGGAAGTCCAGATCACTTCATCAAGTTTTGCCCACTTTGGGCTTTGGAGCAGAAAAGAGGCACCTCGGAAAAATTAAGGGAAATCAAGAATGACAAATATATTCCCTCAAACAAACGAATGACGAAT